AAGAGAGAGAGAGAGAGAGAGAGAGAGAGAGAGAGAGAGAGAGAGAGAGAGTGATCCTCTTTTTTTAACGTTCCTCTACCTCCACAGACTTCCCAACAACAACCCAGGAGCAGTATAAATGTACTAGCAAACCTGTAGGCCTTTCACTCTTACCTTGACGGCACCGCGCATGTGCAGCTCCAGCATCTGTCTCCGGGCCTGGACATTCTTGTTCCTCAGCGGCGCCTTCTTCTCCTCAGTCAGGTTCATGTCATCCTGAGGGGAGGCGGTGGGGAGGAGGGAGAGAGAAAAAAAAGAGGATACAATGACTAACTCATTTCTAATCGTTATAGTTTTATTGTGAGTTTTAAAGCACTTGCAACATACGTAGGTCGTGCACGTGTCGAAAATTTGAGGTGTTTGCCAGTTTTTGTTTGCACACCAACACAATAATGGTCATTTAGTGCTGTGAAAAAGTAAGACAGACAGAAACAACAGAGGGAAAGTAAAGAAGTAGGACCTACCAGTAGCGTCCTCCAATCACCAGGACAAAATTTGATCATAAGGGCCGAAGATTACAGGAGTCACAAGAGAGTCAGAAACACAAAGGGGGAAGATGAGGACGGTGGGCGTTTGATAGAAAATGAGGAGCAAACCACACCAGAGCACCCTCCAAACACCAACATGTATTGAACGAACAGACGACAACAATTATATTAGTATCTAGAATAAAATTAATGGGAGCAGATTGAGATGATACCATCATCGGAAGGAAGGTGTATACTTGTTTGAGGCAACAGGATCACAACACAATAACGATCATTTAAGGCAGATAAAAAGTTGGAACGAACAGTCTCCTCCCCCCCCCCCCCCCCCCCCCCAAAAAAAAAAAGTAGGAAGGAAAAGTGCCCCCACGTCCCACTCCCAAAAAAATCATACCACCTGCCCCAGAGAGCAAACAAACAAAAACACCTGCAGAAAGAAGAAACTGACCAGGACAATCTCAGTATTAAAAAATAAATAAATGGGGGTTACCGTGGCAGTCACAGCATTAACATCAGGCATTGAAAAGAACGAGAAACAGGCCGCACCAGAGCAAGCAACTTCCTAACCCCCAGCCACCCCCCACCCCCTCCCCCCATTTCCCCCAAATCCCACACACAAACAGCATTATCCTCCTGAGATAACTTGCTCGGACAGTTTAACCTTAATCTTGAAGTTGAACTAACTGCACCCCTTTCCTATGACAGATGCCTTACATAACTAGTCACCACGCATCTCTAAGCCCATTCGTGGGAGAGGAACAAAGGAAAAGCCCTATCTTTAAGCCGGCCTAAGAGCTTGCTCGACGATGTCAAGAACACAAAAATCAGTGAGTTAGAGAGGGGACTTAAGTTACATATATACACACATATATATAATATATATAATATAATATATAATATATAACATATAATAAATGTGA